AATACAAACACTATCCCCAATAAAAACCAATTAAAAACAAATATTTAACCGCTGTGTTACCATTAAAATTCTAATTAAAAATTGTCCCTATTTAAAATTCTCCCTAGGCCAGACCCGCTTGCTGAAAAAGCCATGTCTTGAGGGCGCGGCGAAAAGATAGGAGATCCGGAATCGTCCGGATCTCGGGGGGTAGTTCGTTATGGAAATGCTTAGTTCTATGTTCCAGTTATTACCAAAAAGGCTATACCAGTTATTGAAAGCAATGGTTTGCCTATTTTTGCCACACTCAAACGTTAGCCTATATAATTTTCCTCAATGAATAAATGAACAAATAACAATGCTTCTGATTAATTTGTTTAGTTGGATTTTCTTTACCAATTTTTAGGTGTTGTGTGTGGCAAGCAGATCACATTTTAGCTTATTTTTATGTAGAAATATTGAACATTCAAGAACCTTTCACCACTCTTTAGCTTCCCAGCTCTTTCCTGTTTCTCTGATCTTGAAAAAGCTATGCAGGATTAGATGTGGTTAGTACTTGGATGAGAGATCACAGGAAATCTAAGGGCTGCTGATTAGGCTGGGAATTTTTTTTTAAAAAAAAGGTGCCAATGGACAGTTACATTAAGATACTATCTTCTACCTAGTAAGGATAGGATGAAGAATGAGGACAACTAACCCCAAATGTCACTCTTTCATAATTTAGATTAACAATGAATGAAGGCGAATACACATGTCCCAGGATAATGGGATAGAGAGAAATTCCCAGAAGATGGGCTCCAGCATGAGTCTGAAAGCTCGGAAGACAAAATCTGGTGACCAACCCAGATTGGATCCTGCTAGAATAACAATGAACACTACAAACGTTGTTTTGGCTTCTTTGGAATTATGATGAAGTTTTCTGCAAAAATTTCATTCCACTTTGGAATATTAAACAACGAAAGCCTGTAATTTTTAAATAAATAAAATTGTACATATGCACTTGGGAATTCTCAGCCTAGTAGGGATTCCTAGAAAAAGGCAGTTTAAAAATTGGTATATTTTCCAGTTCTATCACAGGAAATAGCTGGCAGTGATCATAACTATTCTTTTGACTATAACTGTTTTTTGACCATTCATTCTAAACCCATTATGCTGTGGCCAAATATC